GGCGCAGTAATCACACCTGTAATCCCAGCACTTTGGGAGGCCAAGGTGGGCAGATCACCCGAGGTCAGGAGTTCCAGACCAGCCTGACCAACGTGGAGAAACACCTTCTTTATTGAAAGAAACTACAGAATTAGCCGGGTGTGGCGGCACACGCCTATAATCCTAGCTACTTGGTGGGGGCAGGGGCTGAGGCAGGAGAATCACTTGAACCCAAGAGGTGGAGGTTGCGGTGAGCCAAGATCGCGCCACTGCACTCCAGCCTGGGCAATAAGAGCAAGACTCCGTCTGAAAAAAAAAAAATTATTCCTAGGTATTTTATTCTTTTGGATGCTAATATACATGGTATTATTTTTTTCTTTTTTTATTTTTATTTTTAGAGATGGAGTCTTACTCTGTCACAGGGCTGGAGTGCAGTAGCGTGATCTTGGCTCACTGCAACCTCTGCCTCCCAGGTTCAAGCATTTCTCCTGCCTCAGCCTCCCGAGCAGCTGGGACTACAGGTGCATGCTGCCACGCCCGGCTAATTTTTTATATGTTAGTAAAGACGAGGTTTCGCTGTGTTGTCCAGGCTGGTCGCCAACTCCTGAGTTCGGGCAATACGTCTGTCTCAGCCTCCCAAAGTGCTAGGATTACCGGCATGAGCCGCCATGCACAGCTGGAATTTTTTTTCTTGATTTGCTTTTTGTTTTTAGTATATAGGAGCATCTGGTTTTTGTATGTTGATCTTGTACCCTGCAACCTTGCTGAATTTGTTTATTAATGCTAATCTTTTCCTGTGGATTCTTCTCTATACAGGATCTGTATATAGAGTTAGTTTGAATAGAGTTAGTTTTACCTCCATTTAAATTTGGATTTTTGGCTGGGCGTGGTGGCTCATACCTGTAATCTCAGCACTTTGGGAGGCTGAGATGGGTGGATCACCAGAGGTCAGGAGTTCGAGACCAACCTGGCCATCATGGTGACATCCCCGTCTCTACCAAAAATACAAAAATTAACTGGGTGTGGTGGCATGCACCTGTAGTCCCAGCTACTGGGGAGGCTGAGGCAGGAGAATCACTTGAACCCAGGAGGTAGGTTGCAGTGAACAGAGATCGTGCCACTGCACTCCAGCTTGGGTGACAGAGTAAGACTGTCTCAAAACAAACAAAAATTGGATTTTTGTTTTTCTTCTTCTTGCCTAATTATTCTGGCTAGAACTTGAATAGCAGTGGTAAAAATAAGCCTCCTTCTCTTGTTCCTTATTTTAGGGGGATAGTTTTCAGTTTTTAACCACTCAGTGTAATGATAGTTGTGTAGAATAGCAGTGGTGAAGCGGGCAGAGCAGGCACCCTTGTCTTTTGGCTTATCTTAGGGGGAAAGCATTTAGTCTTTCACTGTTGACTGAAGGTAATTGTGGGTTTTTCATAGATGCCCTTTATCATGTTAAGAAAGCTCCTTCCTCTTTCCTAGCTTTCTGAGTTTTTTTTGTTTTGTTTTGTTTTTTTTTATGAAAGAGATTCTACAATGCCTTGTGTCAGCTGAGGTGATCATATGGTTATTCCCTTTGTTCTGTTGATGTACATGCTACACTGATTGGTTTTCTTCTGTTAACTACCCTTTCATCCCTGGAATCAATCCCTCTTGGTCATGGATTCCCCTTGGATTTGGTTTGTTGGTATTTTGATGAGGATTTTCTTTTTGCATCTATACTCATGGGGTTATTGCTCTGTAGTTTTTTTGTGTAGTGTCTTGGTCTGGCTTTGGTATCAGAGCATCCAAAAGCCTGAGTGAGTTTAGGAAGTATTTCCTGCTCTTTTATATTTTGAAAGAGTTTGGGAAGATTAGTGTTAATTTTTAAATTTGTAGAATTTACCAGTGAAGCCATCTGGTCTTGGGCTTTTCTTTGTTGGTTGTTTTTCATTGTTATTCCTGATTCATAAAGCCCTCCCTTCCTCAGGGCTCACCTTTCCAGGCTGCTTCTTTTTTTT